TTCCTTGGGCAAGTCGCTGAAGGCCGAGTGCTCCAAAATCGCTAGGCGCCTAAATCCCTTTGCAGGTCGGAGCCCCCATCTGTGAAATGGGGTTAACAGCCGTTCCCTACTCCCGGGGCTGCTGTGCCGATCAATGCGTTAACACCTGTGAGGTGCACCCTAGATGCAGCCCTTGGGTGTGAGACCCCCAGTCAGTCTGAGGTCCTGATCCATGTGGTCAGGCACCTGTGTGGAGCCGGCTGGGGGCCTCGGTCGTACCCAGTGATCCCCCAGTCAGCCTGGGCCAGGATTTATCCTCTGAGCTCTGCAGGATGCAGGCTCTGTGCCTGCACCGTGCGCAAGGTTGGTCCCCTCCTTTCCTCTTTTAGCCTGCTCAACTCTCCTCCCAAAGTGACTCGCCACGTGGCAAAGAGTCCTGTGGCACCTTATAGACTAACAGACGTATAGGAGCATGAGCTTTCGTGGGTGAATACCCACTTCTTCGGCTGCATGTCTGGCTGCTGCCCCATCAACCTGCTCACAACTGCTCTTTAGCAAACGCAGGTTTGGACACCTGGCCTGCATCTTCCCGGCAAGCCCAAGGATGCCCATTCATGGGCGTGGCTCTGTTTGTAGCCCTCATTGATAAAATTGTGCTAATTACCTCTCCACGTGCTTGGCAAATGTGACCTCATTCTCGCAGAGCCCTGGCAAGGCAGGAGATGCTATTATCCCTGGGGGGGGGGGGAACTGAGGCATGCTAGTGGCCACACTCTGGAAAGTGGTATATGTTTTTAGTGCCCAACTTGAGGGGCTGATTTTCAGCGCGCCTGCAACTCCTGGCGACTTCCGGGGCAGCAGGGGCAGCTCAGCGCAATGCTTTAAAATCGGGCCCTCGCTCGACCTGGATTCCCAAGTGGAAGGCGGCGGTGGAAAGCGGTGGCTGAAATGCTGTGCCCCAGGTCTCCAAAGTGGGGGGGGCGCTGTTGCGTTACAACGGAGGATCCCAGCACCCCGGGTCTGCTCAGACCGCTGGCCCCTGCCTCGCGCTCAGGTTAAAAATTGTGCGCAGCCGAGGGTGGTCGGTAATGCTGCGGGCTCTGCATTTCTAGGTAGGTGCTGAGCCATTAACCATCCCTAACGGGGCAGTAACATAAGATCTGTCTGTGGAAGGTGCAGATTTCGGCTGGTCTCAGGTTAGGTTGATAGTTACGGCGCTCAGGGGTGAGAAAAATCCAACGCTCGGGGAGGTTGTGTGGTTATAGCACGACCTTCTTTATCACTATCGGTTGCGTCGACACTACTGGGTTATGCCAGCATAGCAAAGAGCTGCTTCCTTGTCTCCTGAGACCTGCTACAATGAGCCCCCTCCCCTTCCCAGTTCCCAGCCCCCCGCCCTCTGGCTCACCTGGTGTGGGAGGGGAAATTCGGTCCCCTGGCTTTTTCCACCCTGTTCCAATGATCTGGCAGGGGGAGCTTTGCTGTGGGATTAACTTGCTGGGACTTGTACCCACAGCAGCTTGCTAACCGCAGCCCGTGGGGGCTCCTAGCAGAGGTCCTGGGGGTGGGAGACTCGGACATTCTCATCACCAGCCCTGTTACCCCCCAGGACCGAAATGAACCGGTTGAATTTCCACGCCAGAGGCCTGATTCCTTCCTGGTCCCCGTCATAGAATATCAGGGTTGGAAGGGACCTCAGGAGGTCATCTAGTCCAACCCCCTGCTCAAAGCAGGACCAACCCCCAACTAAATCATCCCAGCCAGGGCTTTGTCAAGCCGGGCCTTAAAAACCTCTAAGGAAGGAGATTCCACCACCTCCCTAGGGAACCCATTCCAGTGCTTCACCACCCTCCTAGTGAAAAAGTGTTTCCTAATATCCAACCTAAACCTCCCCCACTGCAACTTGAGACCATTACTCCTTGTTCTGTCATCTGCTACCACTGAGAACAGTCTAGATCCATCCTCTTTGGAACCCCCGATATAGAATTATTCTACTTAACGGCCAGGGGGCAAATTTGTCACGTACACACGGGGTCAGCTATAGGTTGTCTTAACTCAGAAAGTTCCTTCGAGAGGAAATGTAGCCAAACTCCAAACCTATAGCCAATGGAACTCTCTGTGCCTGTATCCTATAGAGAACTAACTACTTAGTTTGCAAAATAACAAGGGTGGGGGGCAAGTAAATGAACAATAAGGGGTCACAAGAGGGGCAGATACATGTAGCTTGCTAATTATGTATGGTAATGATGGCAAATGTTGGCCAATCATAGAGCGATAGATTATCATAAGCATCTGCCTATAATGCTTTGGTGTAAGTGTTTTTGGGGTTCTTGCTGACTTATGAGCTCGAACCCAATTGCAATTGAAATAAACGGATCGCCTCTCCCGGGGCTCCTTGCTTGATTAGCTGTGTCCGCCTCTCCTTATTCCTCAGCTGGAACGGACAGAAATTTCTATGACCCCCCCTTCAGGTAGTTGAAAGCAGCTATCAAATCCCCCCTCATTCTTCTCTTCTGCAGACTAAACAATCCCAGTTCCCTCAGCCTCTCCTCATAAGTCACGTGCTCCAGCCCCCTAATCATTTTTGTTGCCCTCCGCTGGACTCTTTCCAATTTTTCCACATCCTTCCTATAGTGTGGGGCCCAAAACTGGACACAGCACTCCAGATGAGGCCTCAACAATGCCGAATAGGTCACACCTGGTTATGTTCCGGGAGCGACACTAGGAATGACTCTAGCTTAGCGCTGAGAACCCGCCTCCATATCCGTGTCCCCTGCTGGCCTGTTCTGTGAGAGCTTCCCCAGCCGCCTCCCTCCAAACCAAACATCCCTGTGCTTTGGGGCTTTCAGGATTCGAACCCGGAGCCAGACAGGCCACTCGCCTTTCAGCCCCGTGTGTCTAACAGGCCAAATAGGCTCCTAACCGCCCTGAGGGTGGAAATCTGGCTCTGAATTTTGCACCATCTCTGCTGTCAATGAGGCTGGTACTCGGATGGCATCATTTTCTCCCCTCCCCCTCCCCCATGCCCTGATTTCAGGGTGGCTGTGAGCACCGTTACCTGGCCGCGGGGGTGGGGGACGGAGAGGAAAGGGTCGGTCTGGTGTTTTGGTGGATGGGCTCCTCTGATTTGGGGAGGGCCAAGACTGACGCCGCCTGTTGCCAGGCCTAAGGGGTGAAAAGCGCATTAAAATGGGGTTGGAATTGGGGGGAGATCCAAGTGCTTTGTGTGCTGTTCAGTTTGGGGGAGTTCTAGGTGGTCGGGGGGGGGGGGGGGGGGTAAATCCATCCCTAGCGTAACTCAAATGGAGTCATTGGAGTAGTTGTTAGTAGTAGAGCAGCGATGTGACTCCCTGGACTGGGGCACCTGGATTCTATTCCTGCTGGCTGACCTTTGGCAAGTCCCGTCTCCCCGTGCCTCAGTTTCTCCATCCATACAATGGGAGTAACGACCCTCCTTTGTAAAGTGCTGAGAGACCGATGTATTTAATCCTGTGCTGCCCGCACACCTTTAATCCATCAGGAGCCCAGGATTCTGGAAGGGGAAGTGGCCACAAGAGAGCACTTCTTCCATAAACCCTGCCATTCATCCCTTCTAGGCAGCCGAGTTTACAGGCTGGAGAGAGAGGCAGGGTGGCCTAGTGGCTGAGATTCAGGACACCTGGGCTCTGTTTCAGGCTCTGGGTGGCCTTGGGCAAGTCCCTTCCTGCTCCGTGCCTCGGTTTCCCCATCTGTAAAATGGGGGTAATGATACCGCCCGCACTTTGAGGTCTGCCGAGGAGAGCTAGGGATCGTTGTTATTAAAGCTTTGCTGGATCGGAGCCCAAGAGCAGGAAGAATAAACGCAAAGAACGTGTCGCCAGACTGTGGCAGTGTAGACAAAGGAGGCAGGGGAAGCCCAGGTCCCTAAAATAACTGCAGGCTCCTGCCGGGAATAGAGACTGTTTTCAGACGAACAGATGTCAGTGAAAAGATGGGCCTCCCACGACGGCCGGTGGCTGGAGAGTTACTGCTCTTATTCATGATAAGAAGAATAGTCCAGCGCTGGGCCCGTCCTGTATATAAACAGTGCCGCTCATATCAAAGGAATCTGGTGCCCCATTGGCCCAAGCGGTTCGCCAATATCCCCATAAAGAAAGGGCTCTGGTGTCTTTAATGTCCATGCGGAAACTCTGCGCTTTCAAGTCTCCTTCTCAAGATTCACTCACGGCGTACTGTGCCGAAGTCAATTTATTCCCCTTCAAAATGTGCCCAGCTGGGATTTGAACCCACGGTTCCTGAGCATCTAGTCATTTCCAAGCGGATGCTTCTTTGGCTAAGCAGCCCTGTCTTGGCTCGTTAGCATCATGAGCAGCTGTGAATCAGAACCCACGTGAAATGGCTTTCTTTGTACCGGGGAAATAACAAGCGAGAGGTGTGTGTGTGTGAGAGAGCGAGTGAGTGACAGAGACCCAGCATTGCTATCGGGCATATGGAGACAGTACAGATCGTCACTGAGAGCAGCTAAATGTCCCTAGCGCTTTAGCCGGGTGGCTGCAGGCTAGCAAGGCACCAGTTTGCCCATGTCGTGTGACCCCCTGATTCTGGTCCTGCGTGTGAGGGGGGAGGGAGAAGGGGCAGAAGGAAAGCAGCCCTCTCTGTTAACATGCAGCAGGTGTTTCCCTAATGCCGGACAGCTGGGCCTGGAGCCGTGCGGCGCTTTGCTGCCGGTGCCCTGCGGAGCTCGCCCGGTTTTGGTTGCAAGCTCCCAGCTCAGCCCAGGTTCGGGAACACAAGGTTTGGCTTGGAATCCGGTGACACACGAGGGTGATGAGCCCGACACTCAGGGACGGGGGTTGCAAATCTCTCAGGTCAGAGTGGAGTGAAAGGCCCCAATCAAACCCTGCAACTCACCTCCGCTAGGGAAGCTGCTACCGTGCGCCCAATACAGGGCATTGCTTTTCAGCTCCCCTGGAGGTGGGCCGGTGCAGGCTGGCACAGCAGCGGGAGGACTGGTCTAACGCCGTTTGTTTCCCCCCTGGCAGATCTTCCACATGACCTACGACCTGGCCAGCGCGGTGATGAGGATCATTAACCTCATCGGCATGATGCTGCTGCTGTGTCACTGGGACGGCTGCCTCCAGTTCCTCGTGCCCATGCTCCAGGACTTCCCCAGCAACTGCTGGGTCTCCATCAACGGCATGGTGGTGAGTGCCGGGGGAGAGCCGCCTCCTGCTCTGGGGGGTGAGCGAACAGAGCTAGAACATGGTGCTGAGGTCCCTTCCCCGGCCAGGGCAGGCCGGTTCCCCTGGGGCTGGGCCTTCCCCCAGCCTTATGCCTTCAGCCTAAAATTTCCTTTGGTCGGTTTCATCCCGGGACTTCTGGCCAGCGCCCCCCAGTAGCTCCTAACCCCGCCCATGTGTGTAGATGGGTCTGTCCTGTCCCCCTCGCTTAGCCAGCCTCGGTCTGTCCAGTCCTACAGTCCCTGCAAACCTCTTCATTGTGGCCGAAGCCTTTTTATCCTGAGCTCGCTCCGGTTTCGTCCCCGCGGGGCGCTGCGCACAGGCATCTGGGTGCTCTCGGGCTCCGTTAGGCAGCCCCGGGTGGAGTCGCATCGGCTCCAAGGGGTGCTGGGAGCTGGATCTCCCGAAGCCAAGACCCATTCAGAACCCCTCTCCTCCCTGCTAAGGCGATGGGCAGAGACTCGCCTTCTGCCATCCCTGCCCCCTTCTGGCAACTCCACATGGCAGTCTCAAACCTCCCGGAGGACGCTCCCTCCCCACTGCTGTGGGGGCAGCTCCCGGAGTCCTGGCTGTGATCTGCCGGGACCCCCCCCCCCCCAGCCAGCAGGTGCAGCGGGGAGCGGAGCCAGTCTCCTGGCTGAGGGAGGCAGGAGGATACGTCTCGGTCATGGACACAGGAGCAGGGCTTGTTCCTCTCTCTTTCGGGTGCGTCATTCGCCAAAGGGGCTGGAAGCCAAATCAATGGCATGAGGCCGGGCCCTGTCTCGCTGGCAGAGAGCTCTGGCTCGGAAGTACACGACCCCCTCCCTCCTCTGAGCAATAGCCGGCAGAGCAGAGATGTTGTGGCATCTCTCTGCTTCCTCCCCTCCCCCACCCACCACTTTCTCCTCCATTTCTCATTTAGCAACAAAACTGCTATTAATAAATAATGGGACGTGCTTTTAATTGCACTACCTCGGCCCTGCAGCAGCGGCATTAACAGAGCTCCCCCTCCCGCCTCACAATTTCCTTCCTCTCTTTCCATCTACCCGCTTTCGCCGGTCTGCAGCTCATCCTCTCTCTCTCCTTGTGTTTTCCTCTCTCCATCTAGGTCTTTCTCCCCTGTCCTCGCTTGCCTTCCTCTTTTTCTGACTGTTTCCTTCCCTCTCTTCCTCCCCTCTCTGTTTACCTCCTCCTCTTTCATTCCTCCGTGTCTTTCTGTTCCCTTCCCTCTCCCCTCCACCCCCACGTTCCTTGCAATGACTGAGACACAAGTAAAGCTTTTCCAACCCAAGCAGGAATTCGAGGGAGGGAGAGGTATTTCCTTAGCAGGATCCATGACCTTGAGGATCGACCTGAAACCAAAACCCAACAGCGCAACAAGCCCTGTGTGTGTCTTGGGGCGTATCACATATGTGAGTGTCATGCCCTGGCTGTGTTATTGATGGGGGGGTACATGCCTCTGTGTGTGTGTGTGTGTGTGTTGTGCAGTGGGATTGTGATGCACGTAAGTTTCCGCACATGAATGCGGGTGCACATAGGATCCCACCCCGCTGCCCGGAGACAAACGTTTGGGCGTGTGCAGAGATGCTGGCTGGCCAATGGCAGGACCGGTTGTTAGATGAATTACTGTAGCGCCTAGATTGGAAAGAAGATGAACACCGTCCAAGGGAAGCATCGCCGAAGGATCAAAAACGTCTAATGGTTCGAATTCAAGTCAAATGAAGAGATCCAGCTTCTAACTAAACAGGCCCCGCTCTCTTCAACGGTCACCCAGCGCTCTCAGGTGGTACAGCCATTTCTCCAAATGCCTATCAACTTCCCGGCGAGAACCACCTTGGACTTTTATCTAATGCAAGAAGGATGGAGAAGACCCCGCGGAAGACCTGAAACACAATGGCTGGATGGTCACAGTCATCCTACCCCGTCACGTGCCAGACTGGGCGTAGGACAGAACATCATGGAGGCACATAACACGGTCGGTGGCCCCTACACTGTCCATGACAGTGTGAGAACTAACAAGAGGCCCAACCGAGATCGGGGCCCAGTTGGTCGAGGGTAGTTTTGCCGTTGCCTCTGATGCATTTCTGGGGTTAGGAAAGTCCAGTGATCAGCAGCAAGATAATGCCAGGTCATGGCTGCCATAAGGGGAAAGTGCATCTGTGCGGAGGACGGAGCTGTCTGGGGTCTGGTTTGAGACTGTGGGGCGAACTCCTCCAAGAAACGAGGACCATCCCAAACCTCCCCACCTTCTACTCCAAGTGTTCTTTGACCTGCCTTCTCTCACATCAACATGGAACAACCTGTGGATTAAAATATCCAAACCAAGACACTCCCATGCACACTGCTCCCCCGCGGGAGAGGATGAGAGAACAAACCACATGGGACAGATGCTAGCCCAGTAGCTTAATGCCCCATTGGAAGGGACTCAGATACTACGTTCATGGGCACAGGATAAGACTCTAGTGAGAACAGAATAGAATATGCAAGGCAAGGTAAGGCTGGCAGGTGTGGGTTGCTCTCAGGCTCCGGGTTCCAGGTTCCATTACAGTGAATGGGATGAAGTGCATGCAGTCTGGGGGCTGGGAGTCAGGACTCCTGGGTTCTTTTTCCAGCTCTGTCACTGACTTGCTGTGTCACCTTGGGCAAGTCGCTTGTCCTCTCTGTGGCACTGTGTAATCACAGAGAAAAGGAATATAATGCTTTCCCGTCTTCGAGGGGATCTCTCTATCCTTCACGGACCCATCACAGATGTAGCTACCGGCAGCAATAGTTTGGTGCAAAGCTTTAATTCCACGTACGTCTCCTCGTAGAGGAGTGCACTAACTGAGCATCACACCGTTCTGTGAAGCAGGTCAGGTGTTCTGCCTGTTTTACAGAGAGGGAAACTGAGGCACAGAGCTGGGCGTGGAACTCAGGAATTGCTGCCTCCCAAACCTGTGCTCTGACCATTACAACACACCTTCCCCAGAGCAGCATTACTGGTGTTCGCTTACGGGTGTCCATGTACACCTCCCTTTCCTTACACACCGGTAGCTTTTCATTTCTTGCCTTCTCTCTCTCTCCTGCCACACAAGCTGAGTATCCCAGCACAAGTACTTTAATAAACTCGGTGCTTTCCAGACTGTCTGAGCTCATTTCCTTCACCGGGACCCGCACTCCTCCCTCCCAACCAAACTGGCTTCTGTTAGCTCCTCATCCATCAGTAGGATTTGGCAGGGTCCCAGCTGACTGACAGATGATCTAAACCTGCCCTTGTCACGTCGGCCTGGTTCTGGGAGCCAAGTGACAGGCAGAGTAAAGACAAAACGCTCCCAAGCCAGGGGTGGGTCTATGTGGGGGAGAGAGGGAGACAGGAGATTGGGAACCGGACAGTCTCTGGAAAAATGTACTGAGCAGTTCTTTTGCAAGCTGGACTATGCGTTTGGAGCAGGCTACCTGCCCGTTTAGAGCACTGCCCGTGGCTAAGGCTATGTCTACACTACAGAATTAGGTCGGATTTATAGA